AAAAATTAAAGAATTTATAAATAAATAAAATTCAGTATCGAATAAAATTTTTTTTTTTTTTTGATTATTTATATATAAATTTTTACGTATCGCATTACTCGTTAATTTCCCTCCCCCCCCTCACTGTTCCCCCTCGCCGCGAAATCTTCTTTTTTTCCATTCGAATTCATTTGTTTAAATTTTTTTTTTATTTATTTAACAAGTGTTAAAAACAAAAAACAAAAAAAAACAAATTGAAATAAATAAAAATAATAATAATAATTTCATTTAGTTATTAATACGAGGATAATAATAAAATATATTATTATTATTATGATTGTTTCAGATAGTAAAAAAAAATATAATAATAATAATAATTCAAAAAAAGTTTTTTCCGAATCGTCATTTTTAAAAAATATCGGGAAAACTATAAATCACGATTTGCAAAAAGAACCATCATTTTCATTAAATTCTAACGGTTTTTTTTACATAAAAGACTATAATAAAAAATATAGTAAATCGTTAAACGATTTAAATTCCGGATATTTACTATACGATAATGAATCTATCGCCAACGGGTTCGTTATTAATTTCATATATATACTACGATAACACTAATAATAATAATAATAATAATTTTTTCCCTTAGGAGCGAAGTTTTTAAAATTTGTAAAAAAAGCAAATCGTCAATTGATTCCGTATCATTTACCAACGACACAGCAAATAAATTTGCTAAAACTTGTATAGCAAATTTAATTTTTTTAAATGCTTGGAGACGACAGAAAAACAATTATAAACAAACTCAAGAAAAAGTTAATTGTTTAAACGAAAAGGTATCTTTTATCATTATTATTTCCCACCCCCTAATTGATGAATGTGACGCACATAGCCTTAAGGTTATGTCAAACCTGTACGATAATGACAAATTCTATTATTGTAAAACAACATCATTTTTTTCATTCATTCATTCATTCATTCAATTTTTTTTTTTTTTTTTCAGTTAGATGGATTTGAAATGCAAGTTTATTTATTACGTCAACTATTAAATGCGGAAAAATCTAGAGTTGATGCTGCAAATGAAAATATACAAAATTTAATACAAAAACTTCAGGTAATTAATAAATAAAAATATAAAAATTGAGAATAATTGTATAAAATTATGATCCTTTTTCCTTTCCAGCAACATGATTTATTGGAAAAAAATTACAACGATTTGATGGAGTATAATTCGCAATTAGAATTTGAAATTAAAAATCAAGAAAATGAAATATTAACGGAAAAATTTAAATCGCGAGATTTTGAAAAACAATTGGAAAAAGAAAGGGATGAATTGAATAAAATATTAATTGAACAAAACATTTTAAAAGAACAGGTAAATTTTGTGAATGGTGGTGATTGTGAATGACAAGAAAGAAAAAAAAAAATTAATTAATTATTAATTATTTTATGTAAGTTAAAAGAAAAAGAACAAATTGTAAATGATAAAACGGAAACGATCAACGAATTAAATAAATTGAATGAAGAATTACAATTAAAATTATCATTTCACGTTTCATTGGTTGATAAAACAACAGGACAAGTTAAATCATTGAATGAGTGAGTAAATAATTTTCCGACCAAAATTTTCCTTCTTTGTTTCTTTTTTTACAAAAGAAAATTCTAATTTCCGTTATAGAAATTTGAAAAAAACCGAACTATTAAAAGAAGAATTTAAAAAAATAATCGAAGAAAAAGAAAAAGAAATAAAAAAATTACAATTAATAATAAAAGATTTGGAAAATAAACTTGAAGAAAAAGATGAAAAAAATGGAATTTTAAATAAGACGATTTTGGAAAAAACGTTAGTTATTTTTTTTTTTTTTAAATTTTTCCGACCCGTGAAAAATCCCTAACGATTTTTCTTTTTTCTTTTATTTTTTAGTAACGAACTTGATATAATACAAGAAAAAATAATTGAATTAACGAAAAATAAATATTTTTGGAATGGTGGAATCATTAAAGTTGCTTCTTTATGTGCTAAAATACCCGTTGCTTGTATTTGTACCGTCGGTTCATTACTTTTACCATTTCCGTCATACAGAATTTAAAATAATCAAGTTTTATTATTATTATTATTATTATTTTGTGATAATGTTTTTTTTAACAACGATACATTAGGAAAATACAATTTGCTTTCGGGCTTTAAATGTTAATTTAATAACAGTCAGTCAGTTAGTTGTTGCCTTGAATAAAACCATTGTGTGTCTTTTTCTATTAATAAAATGTGTAAATAAAAAATCTTTTCTTATCAATTAATATTATAAATAAATAAATAAATTATAAATTTTCCAAAAAAAAAAAAAAAATTAATAACGAATGAGTGAATGAGTCAACGTTATGGGCAATACCAACGGACGCCATATTTGACGTAACGTAAAACGTATAAAAATAATAATAATAATAATAACGGATTTACCTGTTTATATCCTATTACTCTGAAATTTTTTTTTTTTTTTTATATTAATTAAATTTGCATAAAATGTTTTTTCAGAGTGTTGAGCAAATCGGACGAATGTAAATTCGATGGTGATAATTCCAATGCTTTTTGTGCACTTATGTAACTCGTTTGTAAATCTCCACACTTTAATAAATAAAAAAAAAAAAAAAAAAAAAATTATGTAAATTAATATTAATTCATAATTTCGACAAAAAAAAAAATTTAATAAAATGATGTCGTTTACCTGATGAGCAAGTTTTGAATGATTAAAATGTGGTTCGAATAAAAATGGTGCTTGTCTTATCGAAGACTGAAAGTGTAAGAAAAAAAAAAAATTATAAAAACGTTGATTATAATGATAATAATAATGAGGAGGTAAAAAATGGCGGAAATATATGGATTATTACCGTTAAAAATGCATTTGCATATGACAAATTATTTTTTTTTATTTCTAAAACTCCTAAATTATTTAATGCCGGAGCGTGATTTCCATCAATCGACAAGCATAAACGTAAACAATTTCGTGCTAAATTTATATCGCCTATTCCCTGAAATACAATAAATGTCAGTTATTTAAAATCTTATTAAAATTTAAATAAATAAATAAATGTACTAACTATAGCTATGTGCGATAAATTGTACCAGATATTAGGAGCATTTTCATTATTTGAAAGAGCCAAAGCTCTTTTGAAACATGGCAGAGCAATTTCAAATTGTTGGGAATAAAAACAGCAAAGACCCATATTATTCATTATTTCGGCATTGATGAGACCCATTTGAAGCAATCTCCTAAATTATTTCATTTTATATTTTTTTTTTTCCGAAAAAAAAAATTTTATTTGTAAATGAAAAAAACGTACTTGTAAAAACGAAGAGCTATTTCCGGTTGATCTCCATAAAAATAATGAAGACCGACGCATGCGATGGCTTCGATATTTGATGCATCTTTTAAAATGACATTTCTATAACAATTTATGGATGCTGGAATTTTATTTAAAGCCTCGTACAATCTGAAACGTTATAAATTATTTGATAAAATGATTAATTTCTTTTTAAAAATAAAATAAAATTTTCCCTAACCTTGCTGCTTCGATTGTATACGATGTTTCGTCTGGAAAAATTTTTGATGCACGTTGACAAACGTCTAGTGCGTTCAATGGTTGATCCAGTTTTTTATAAATTAAAATTAATCTGAGAAAAATATCTACGTTGACATGTTGTTTTAATGCCGATCTAAAATGTTGTTCTGCTTCTCTGTAAAGACCTAATTTATAATAACATTTTCCCATTTGCGAAATCCACCACCAATCTTTAAATTCTGTTGCTTTTGCTGATTCAAGTGCAAGTTGCATGGCCTGTAATTATTTTTGCATACATTTCTTTTACTTTTTTTTTGGGAGGGGGGGGGGTGGGGGGTTTTAAATCTCAATATAATAAAAAATTTACTTTAACGTACGTTTTGAATATCATTTTCATGATAGTAAAGATATTCAAATAAATATTTTCCACTTATTTCGGTTCCATATTTAACTAAATTAATTTTGTTTATTTCAATGAAAGGACCTTCTTCTTCGGATAACATTGAACTCGTACCCATCCTAATGTATCTTCCACTTTGACTTGTTATTGGTCTTGATGATCTACTTCTTCTAGCCGATTTTAAACCTTGTTCCATTGTTCTACTATGCGCTGAACGTAAATTCGTTCGAACAACTCCGGTTACAAGGTGACCGACTTCGGTTTTTGGCCTACTGGTAATAAAAAAAAATAAAAACAGTCACATTAACATATTTTTAATAGGATTTCTAACTTGAATTATATAATATTATTTCAACTTTTAGTTGGAAAAATACCTGGTACTTTCAGGTTTGATATTTCTCAGGGATGTCCCTATTCTTGCTGCTTCTGCAATCACGTTATCATCTAAGAATTCATCTGCAAGCGTTTCTTCTTCATTTTCAATGTCATCAATGTAAACGGATTTTGTATAAGCTTTCATTTTCAATATCCAAGCTGCCTGTAACATGATTTTGATTTGTGACCAATAAAATTTAAATTTAACAAATTTTTTTTTTTTTTTTATAAGTAAACTTACTTGATCATAAGCATTTTTTTTTAACAAATCCGTACAATTTTTAATACATTCTTCTAATTTATTTCTGTTGTAATAACTAAGAGCTTGATAAAATAAATCCATCTGAAAATTATAAAAAAATATATATTTTAACTGAAAAACTATTAAACAACAACAAAAAAAAATGACATAAAATTTTCCCTTTTTTACAATTATAATAATATTTCTGTGTTCATTTAAAAGAATGTTTCCACGGCTACAATCCTTTCCTGGAAAATCAATAATGTGCTAAATAAAAAGAAAAAATATAAATTATAAAGGGGATAAAATAATTAAATTT